GATAGCTCAGGTGTCATTCTGCTAATGTGGTCAGTTTTATTGACATTTCTAAAGTTAAATCAACCATGAGTTATTGGGATAAACCTCCTTTTTGGGGGCTATAATACTGGGGCTTAACTCCCCAGGGTTTCGTGCATGTATCTCCAGCCCTTTTTAAGAATTTTTTTTTTTTTTGTACTGGGGATCAAACTTCAGACCTTGTGCTTGCAAGGCAGGCGCGGTGCCACTGAGCTAAATCCCCGGCCCCAGGAATTTATTTTGAGCTAGGATCTTGCTGAGTTGCTCAGGTTGGGCTCAAACGTGGGATCCTCCTGCCTCAGTGTCCCAAGTGGTTAATATTACAGGCATGTGCCACTATGCCTGGTTTGGATACAACTTTAGACAGAGTTTAATGCTGGATTTGATTTGCCAGTATTTAAAAAAGTGTACATCTTTGTTCAGTGGGGGATACTGCTCTGTAATTTCCTGTGATATAACATTTTGACATTGAGCATATGTCAAGTTCACTTGGTAGTATTTATCAAAATATCTGAGGAATATAGTTTGTCTAGCACCTTCCTGTACCTTGCACAAACAGCAAAAAAAAGGCAGGTGTAGGTACTATTGAGAAATAATACCTGCTTAAAAATAATCTGACACCAATACTTTGACAAACCTAGTTAAGTGTAAAATTTACACATAATAAGACTAAGCCTGAAAAATGACTGGATTTCCTTTATAAATACAGCGGTACCTCGGCTTATTAGCTTAATTTGTTTTATGATTTGGGGAAAGATGGCTGTGGTCATGTTTGTTACCCATTATGCAGTTTGCAAATGGAAGCAAAATTTTCCCAAACGCTTTTGTTTTTGAACTGAATTGTTTGCAAACAGAAGCATTTGTTAACCGAGGTATTACTGTATCACGAAACACTGATTTGAGCTTGGAGGTAGGGGAGGGAGGAAAGGAGAGGGGTTAAGCTGCTAAACCGGAGCCTTTGCAGCTCTGGAGAGAGAATGAAGACTCCCCAAGCTGCCTATGGTGAGCAGGCCTCACCTCTGTCACACGTGTTAACAACCCTCTCAGACAAAGGCTGGCTGCTCGGATACTGACACGATGTCCTGTAGGTTATTAAGAATTTGCAGACTGCCCTTCTGGAAAAGTTTTATCTATATTTAAGCATTATAGGTCTCCTTAAATCTTAGGATATACAGTCACCTCTTTGATGTGACTCATCAATCAGTTACATAATGGTGTTTATGAGGTATCATCGGGTAGGGAGATGCCTGGCCCAGTGATGTATCAGGCCACGCGTGACAGTTTCATGTCCTCATTGATTACAGATTAGCTTTTAAAACCTGATCTCTTGATCAAATAGGAGAAGCTTCTATGTTGTCAGATTTTTCTGTGGTGAATGTTGATTTTGTTACCTTTCTGTCTTGTTGCTGAGACAAAATACCTGACACCCAAAGTTAGAAGGGAAGGGGCTTATTTGGCTTACAGTTTGTAGAGGTTTCAGTCCATAATCGGCTGGCTCCAAGGCAGTGATGACAAACAAGCATGGCAGAGCAAAAACAACATGGCATACACAAGGCAGCAAAGGTAATGAGAGAGTTTAACAGGATCTTTCTGCCCCTTCTACCTTAGTCAGACTATGGGGATTAGCGTGGTGCCAAACTAATCACTTACATGCAGTGGTTTAGTAATCACAGCCCTTAATACCAGCATCAGACATTCCAGATTCAAGTACCTCTGAGAAAGAAAGTCCCACCTCATCTGCATGAGGCGGGGGTAGTAGGGGGGGGCGGGCGGGCATCTAAATACAAACCTCTAACAGTAATAATGTTCTTTATTTCATATGTAGAAAAGAATCCAGGGAATCCAGTCAATTTCTGCTAATATGCTATAATTTTGCTCATTATATTTGCTTGATTTTCAATACAGCAGTTAGGTATTAGTAGTTTAGGTATTATTCTCCCAGGTTAAGAACTTCTATTCACTGTGGCTACTAGTTGTTGAAGATGGCTTTCTTCTCAAGTTACATATTGATCATGGAAATGAGAGAAAGATGGAAGATCAGAGATAGAAAGGGAGGGACAGTGTCACTCCTAGTTGCTATAAATATGACTCAATTGATCTTTTTTCCCTTTTTTGATACTGGGGATTGAACTCATGACCTTGCGCTTGTGAGGCAGGCGCAGTGCCATTGAGCTAAATCCCTGGCCCCCATTTTTTAGATTTTTAAATTTATACTTTTATATTTCTTCTGTATGATTTTCTTTTTTTAAATTTTTATTTTTATTTTTTTTGTTTCTTGAGACAGAGTTTTGCTATGTCATCCAGGCTGGCCTTGAACTCACCATGTAGCCCAGACTTGTCTTGAAATTGGGGGTATTCTCCTGCCTCAGCCTCCTGAGTGCTGGGATTATAGGCATGTGCCACCACATTTAGCTATCTTAAGTTTTCTGTGTGGAAGATCCATTTATTTCCGATTCATTATAACATTGTGAAGAACACTATATATATATTTTAGAATTTATTACAGCATTACTTTTTGATTTAACATGCCCAAGTATAGTGTTTTGTTCTGGGCTAGAATTTGGCGTATCAGTCAGCTCTGTCTTCTGTTGTAATCTTACATTCTGGTATTGTTTTGCTCCACCAGAACTGTTGTGAACAAAGAGTTAAAAATCTCCTTAGACCAGTGTGCCTAAGTCTCTTAGTACTTCTACAAATACTTCTTCACAAATGTTTTTATGGTTTCAGGATGCATCCATTTTCCTACAAGTGGCTTAAATTTAGCCTTCTTTATGGCAGTGTAGTACTCAGTTATATATAAATACCACATTTTCTTTATCTGTTGATGGACATATAGGCCACTTCTAAGATTCAGCTATTATGAATTGTGCTGCTATAAACATGGATACGGATGCATTACTGTAATATATCCTTAACTTTCATTTATCTGTTCTTTAGATCATGAATCAGAGAGAGAGAGAGAGACAAGAGAGAGAACGAGAGCGAGCACGAGCACGTGCGAGCTGGGGGAGATATACTTTCCAAAGTTACACTCCTAGTGACCTGCCTGTCCTATCCAGCCCCACCTCCTTCATTTAGCTATGAACTCATCAGTGGTCCAATCCACTGATGAGTATAGTACCCCTCTGATCTAGTTACCTTCTAAGAGCTCCACCTCTGAACAGATGAGACGTGGGTGACATTCAGATACAAGCCAGTAACAGTCATCCTGACTGCTGACAGTGCCTCCTAATCCCTTCCTAACCTCTGCTTCTTTCATACTGGTTGCCCTCTGCTGATTTCTTTGCCAGTGTCTTCCTTTTCTGTGTAACAGTCACTCAGTCTTAGTGGCAGTAAGATTGCTGTGATGAAGTACTGATGTTAAAATAATTTGAAGGAGATATGTGGAGATAATGTGGGAGGGTGAGCAAGTAAACCAAAAGCAGTGAATTTGTTGAATGGGACCAATAAGCCACCTAATAACTAACTTTAACCTGAATTATGTCTTTTGTAAGTTTGTGAACAAAATTGTAAAGGTGATACCACTTAGGTTCTTAGCAGTAATGAAGAAATTGTGAAGGGGTTGGGGATAATGACTAGGTATCAGTTTTGCAGGATAAGTAAAAACAATGAATTATAAACTCCCTAACAATTTATTTTAAACATAATTTGACAGCTATTCAGGATTATGAAGCTGCTCAGGAACACAATGAAAATGATCAGCAGATTCGGGAAGGTCTAGAGAAAGCACAGAGACTATTGAAACAATCACAGAAACGAGATTATTATAAAATCTTGGGAGTAAAAAGGTGAGTTATTAATTTAAATTTTGCATTGCTGTATTTAATCAACAGTTTTAAAGCTAATCATTGTTTTTTTTCTCTCCCTTATTCATTTAATTTATGTATGTAATTGTGGCAATGCTATTCTAAAAATCTTAAAACTTCATAAAGCTACTTTGAATATGTTACAGGCAAATTTCTCTGATGCAGACTACTAATCCAGTAATAGTCTGTGGCATGAATAGGTCTTAGACCTGGATTTTTTTCAGGAAGGGTCAAGAAGTAGCAGTGAGCTTTTTTTTGGTAGGAATGGTAGACAGGGAAGAAGGGAATATGAAAAGAAAAAACTTCTCTAGGCCTAAAAATATAGTTGTGCTTTTATTATAAGACCCATCTTCCCTGATCAAGTAAGCTACCAACTTTCAATCCAAATCTGAAACTTTGTTCTTACTCCTCCTTCAGTAAACGAATCCCAAAAGAAAGCATTCAAAAAGTCAGATTATTGTTTTAATGCCAACAAAGAACTAAATCATAGTACAATAGCTTGCAAATTCAGAAAGGCACAATTGTAAAGGTCAGTACTTTATTCACAGTAAGAGTCTTAGTGTACAAGTATCTGTGGGAGACTGAGTGGCTTTAATGATTTTCCAGAACCGTGTCAAATTTTCAAAACTATTAGGAAACCTGCGTTACTGTTTGCAGTTGAGATCTTAACCCAACTCTTCTAATTTTCATGGCAGTAGTTTGGATACTTCTTAACTAATGCTTAATTTTACCCCTCAGAAATGCCAAAAAGCAAGAAATTATTAAAGCATACAGAAAATTAGCACTGCAGTGGCATCCAGATAACTTTCAGAATGAAGAAGAAAAGAAAAAAGCTGAGAAAAAATTCATTGACATAGCAGCTGCTAAAGAAGTCCTCTCGGATCCAGGTATTGTTTACCTTCAGCATTTTTGTATTCTCTCGAAATAGTGGGCTTGTGATTTATTAGCTCTTCCTGTCTATGGTCTGTCTTGGAGGCAGTGTCAGGTAGAGGGTGGAGGGTGATGTCGCTGTGGTCTGTGAGGGCTGTGCCTGGTCCTCGGCCCTGTAATTTCAGAACTCCAGTTTTGTCTGCTGTGACTGAAGACCCGCAGGATACATGGTGCAGTGAGTGAAAAGATCATCATATGTGAAATCAGAAGGCCTGAGTTTGAATTTGTTTCTACTTGGACAGGTTATGACTTTTGAGGCCTGCGTTTTTGAACCTGTGACACAAGGACACAACACTGAGCATAACACCATCCTAGTTTGCTTCCAGCCTCACAGGTCTATGGGGAATTGTCTATACCAAAGTCCCAGGACCTTGGTGAGGAGACCAGTGTGCCAGGCTGGATTACGCATGGGTCGGGTGGGGACAAGGAGAAGCAGATAGGCAGCCAGGGCCTTTTGGGCTCTCCCATGGGTGTGTTCACCAGCACTCTTGCCATAAATCAAGTCATTAGGTTTACGGGTGGATCTGTGTTCTTCATTTATCATAGATTCTGTGGCCTGGAATATAAGAAGGGAGACAGGCTAAGAACTGAGATAGTAATGACTAACACTGCCATTTCCAGGGGAAGTTTAATGATAAGCTGATGCCTATGGCTGTTTTTGTGGCCTTCTGTGTCTTGAACTTGACAAACAAAACAGAGGGAATCAGGTTTTACCCCTTTGGCAAATCTTTTTTGAGCACCCATTTATCCTATGGGATTGAAATTAATGATCCTTTGTTCTAAGTACTTTCTAACCCAATAAGGGAGACAGATAAGCATTGCACTAAGTACAGTAGGAATACGTACTTCCTGTCCTGTTATTCAGCAATGTCAGGTGTTGACCTTTCTTCTGTCCCTGCTGTGTCCTCCCTGCTCAGTGCCCAGACCTGCTAGTGCGACACCAGGCACTCCAGAGCGCCAGTGAGCCTCCCGGAATGGCATGTGATAGGGTCCTCGCTCTCACAGCTGAGGACACTTAGCACTGTTGAGGTGAACAGTGAGGCTCTAAGAAAGCTCACCTGGGGGCAGGTGTGGGTGAGTTGTTCCCCGGTGGACTCACTCATTTTGGAGGTTAGAATGATGACATGGTTCTTTTATCAAGTATGATTTTTGGAGGTCTCTTGCTCTGGCATTACTTCAAACGTCCTTTAGTTAATTCTGGGGTCTTAATTTGCTGATTTCTTTTCTAGAAATGAGGAAGAAGTTTGACGATGGAGAAGATCCTCTGGATGCTGAAAGCCAACAAGGAGGAGGTGGCAACCCTTTTCACAGAAGTTGGAACTCATGGCAAGGGTTCAATCCTTTCAGTTCAGGAGGACCATTTAGATTTAAATTCCACTTCAATTAAACCAACTGTTTTTCTGCTCTTCTTCCTTAATTTTTTAAAGATTAAAAACAAAGAAAACCTTGTACTGCGATCCCAATGAAAAAAAATATCAAATCTTTGTTTGTCCATGACCAAAGAGTTGTTTTAATAAGAAAAATCCATTTTAGAATGAAGGTTAATGGCTTTGCAAGGGCAGGGAGGTGAGGAATTGTTCTGCTGACAGAGCAGCCTGTACCCATTTCATCCATGGCTGGAAGTGGCCGGAGGCAACTCATCTGTGGAAGTGCTCATGGAGTCTTTCCCGGCATGGCACACAGATTCTTCTCTTCCTAGCCTGGCGTAGTACCTGTATGGTGGAGCTGTCATCTTCATGGCCGTGTCGCAGTATTCTTCAGGAGAATATGAACAGTTAAGCCATATGTTCTTAGGGACAACTATGCTTAGATTTTGGTGCACCTGGTCATTTGCAAGTGTTAAATTACCGCACCCCCTTTAACATGCAAGCCTTCTGCACCAGCATCACGTGGCTGGCAGTAAGAAGGGGCAGAGTCTGCCTTTTAGCCTTTTAGGAAACTTGCCACAGGATGGTAGTCAGTATGTCCAGGTGTAGACTGAGGAGTGATGTTAAGCATATTTTGGGGGGTGGCTGGTACCTAGAGAAGAATACCGAGTTAACTGGAATTTAATTGCAAAACTTATGGGCCCTTTTGTTTACTGTTAAACAGAACAAGTTAACTAAAAGTAATACATAAAAAAGGTTCAGATAGTATAGCTGTGGTATTTAAATAATATTGCTGAAGTTTAATTTGAAATACTTTTTAAGCAACCCAAGTTCTGAGTTGTGTTGTTACAGGATTTCCTGAAACAAAACTGGCTTAGAAATCTAAAATTGCTCAGCTAACAAAACACACAGAATGCTGTGATTCCTGCTTTCAAGCAGGAGAGTGGGGCGGCTTCTCTTACATATGGCTGCACCCTGGGCTGTGGCGACGGCCCCCTGGGAGCGGTTCACTGGTGCACAGTGGACAGCAGACCTGCCTTCACCCAGCCTGGATGCCGAGAGGCGTTCTCCTGCCTAGGAGGAAGGACAGACCTGAGGATCTGTCAGCGCTGGCTGTGTATCAGTCATTGCATTTAACCAGATGATACCTGCTCCTGAGACACCTTCCTGTTACTTTTGAAGAAGGTAACTATCTGTGCTCACTTTGGCAGCACATATACTACAAAAAGGTGACTATCTAAAAAGTGTGCTATTCAGTCTTTGTATACTGGATGATTTTTGCCCTAAAAAAATGAGTGTTATTGAATCAAGATCTCTGAATTCTTATGGAACTAATGATGCTGCATTTAAAAATCTAAGATAATTACTTTAGATAAGAATTACCTTTATTCTAGAAAGGTTTTGTTTTTGCCTTGAAGCATTCTGAGATATTTTAAGGATTAAAGAGTCTAATGTATTGCTTTTATGAAATCAAGCATTTTAATTCACTGAGGCATCCTGTCCATGAATGTCTACAGAAGCCAAGCACAAATAATTTTTTTCTGTAGTCATATCCTTAAATATTCAGAAAAAAAATTTTAACTGAAGGACGCAATCACATAATTGAATTGAGCAAAACACTCAAGTGCTTTTTGCATCTATGTAGGAATCTGTTTCTTACCAATAAACTTAAAAATGCATTCTGAAAACTAGTGACCAGCTTGCAGCTTTTATTTGTTTTAGTGGCTTAAAATTCAAGCCAATGTGAAATTTCCCAGGTAAATTCATCTTTGTTCTTTAGTTATCTCATTACCTCACTAATTATGGTCAGCAATGTGTATTTTAAAATCTGGTTCCTTCTGCAGATGTTACTGTGACCTCTGAAATATAGTAAAGGCCTCTACCTACTTTCAAAAGGAAACATAGAACACTTCATCCTTTGGAGAGGATGAAAAGCAACCAACGAGGAGCCAGAGGGGTCTGGGCTGGCCAAGGGCTGGACTGTAAGGGAGAGGTGTCTCAGGCCTCACTGCCTCCCAACTTGCTGCCCAGGAGGTTTGTTCTTCACTGTAACAAAATTACTGTGGATTAAGTCAGTTTAATGGAAATGTGCAGAGAGCTACAGCCTTTATCAGTAAAAAGAGAAAGCAGCTTTGGTGCCAAGTGCCAACACCACAGGGGACACATTCTCTGGATTCTGTTGCTTTGCTCATTACTGAAGTAATGACTTTTAAGCTCCATCCTGGATGGCCACCGGTAGTCTCCGGTGTCTTCCCACATGGAAGGATGGTAACTGTCCTTTCCCTGACCAGCGACTGAGAAAAATCCTGAATGTGTAAGGGGATGGAACAGTCACTCCTCCCACCTGCCTGACACATGCAATGGAAAAACACATTACTGACAAAGCAGTTTCCCATTTTTGTTAGGCTAGTTTCCACATTCCGCCCATTTTTAGGGCCTGCAGGCTTCCTTGTGGGAGCCTCTGGAGTGGGGTGTCACAGGCACTTTCCACAGCAGGAGTTTAAATGCATCAGCTTGAAGCCTTAAAAAGTTCCTCCTCATTCCTCAGTTCTGAAAGCTTGTGCTTTCTTACCACAAATAAGCAGATGGAAACAACTTTAACAGTTAAATGTGACTGGAAGTAACATTAATTTTATAATTTTTTTCTCTTACATGTTGTAAGTCTGTATTTGAGTATCAGTATGAAAACAAGTTGTTGGAGTTCTGACAGCAGAATCTAAAACCTACCCATGATTTAAAAAAAATTACTGATATAACCATGTTTTAAGAAGGCCAATAGGATCACAATTTAAAATTGGCACCATTTTCTCTTCCTGGTAGATAACGAAAAATTTCAGGTTTAAAGGCATAAAGTTGTACTTGGTATTTACCCCAAATTAAAGAAAGTGTGTAAGAAAGAGGCAGAAATTAAAAATGTCTCCTGGGTCGGCCTCTGTTAGAGCCGACAGTTTTACAGACACATGGCACCGGTGCTGGGCCTTGCAAAATATTTTCATGAGTATCCATTAGGATAAGCTAGAGAAATTAACACAACTTTCTTGAATGTCATTGACTTTTTCATGTTTATAAAGAAAAGAAGAAGGCCAATGCTAAATTTGTCAACTAACATCCTTGCTGTAGATCAGATCATTCCCTTTCTGTTAATGGCAGAATTTATTTTGTACTTCTGAATGATATTAAGAGGTGGGAATTTTTTCAGGTGATCTCTTCATTGACTGATTTAAGCATAAAATTAGCCACTGCGTGGCTTCATGTACATTCATCTGTGGATGAAACATTTACCTGCAGAGGAAAGCAGAGCATAGGGGAGGTGAAAAGTGAAGATGTTTGAGAAGTTGAATTATTACTCTTACTCTAAGGTTTGTTTTGAATGAGAAAAGACTTAGTCCATCTCAATTTAGGGTTTTAATAAAGGACGTAAAATTTGAAATAGGTCTCAGACATGTCTATGGGTACTATTTTTTATACCCGTGTATTTTCACATTTAATAAAAATATTTATGGTCATCAGTATTTTGATTCATGTTTAGTCTTTGAGTATGAAAAATTCTAAGTCTGTTTAGAAGTCTGTTTCTAACTTTGCTTCACACAGAATCAGTGACTGAGGTAACAAAAGTGCTTTTCTTTTATTGCAAATTGACAGGGAAAATGAGAGCACAAAACCCAGGAATTGCTCTCATCTCATCCTCCAAATCCTAGGACAGCAGGGCTTAATAGCAGGGCTTAATGACAGGGCAATTCTTCCATTTAAATATTAAAGTTGAACACAAATTGGCTTTGTGTGAAGTGAAAACCTTCCCTTTCACTTTGTTCATTTCTGTTGTGCCAAGAGGAGAAGGAAGATGTTAGAGCCCATCTCAAATTTCTAGCAATAAAAGTAGCTTTCTTCTCAGGTATATATTCTGCATGTCCTAAGATTCAAGGGAGCTAGAAGTCTTAAATGTAGACAGAACTTCTCCAGAAAAGTCAGTTTCCAAATTCTTTTTCGTTGTTGTTTTTTTGGTACCAGGAATTGAACTCAAGTCCTTGCGCCCTGGCCCAGTTTCCAAATTCTTAATCCTCACCACATCCCCTCAGTATGTGAGCAGCCAGCCTTCATCTCAGGAGGATGTGAACATGCATGACAAAGGCAAGGCCGGCTGACCACAGGGGCCAGCAGAGGTCATGCTCTGCCCAGAGCTGCTAGGGCTCCAACTTGGCAGGCACTAATCCCTCTCTGTCCCTAACCAGCCCCAGATCAATGCTTCATCATCTTTTAGAAATCTCGTCATGCGGGCCGGGGATTTAGCTCTGGTTCTGGCGCCTGCCTCGCAAGTGCAAGGTCCCGAGTTTGATCCCTGGTACCAAAAAAAAAGAAGTCTCGTCATGCATGATAGATTTAGATTTATGTTCATGGATGTTATCCCTTCATTGAACTTTAGGATCAAATCACCAAAGCTCTTATGGTTTATAAACTCCCTTGCATGGCCTTGTGTGACCAGCTGCAACTTCAAGGTGCTGCTTTTGTCCTCAAAGGAACACAACTCCCCGTGCTGTTCTTGGCTGACCAATAAGTACTCCCTTGCTTCAGGTTTCACCCTAAATACCACTTTGTTAGACCTTCTTTGCCCCTTGCCTTTCACATCATTCTTTCTAACTGCTTAATGTTTATTTAAACTAACCTCAAAAAGACAGGTGGCACGTGTTACAGTTCCGATCTAAAATGGTGGGTGTTTTGTCCCAGTGATGGGAAGGTGACCTCACCTTATTCTTCATGCTTACTAATGCTTGCCACTTACTAATGCTTCACACAGCATAGCAGATAAATTGCTGAAATTGAAATACATTTTGAATTGCTGAAATATGTGTTGAATTTGTTCAGGTTGGGTGACCTACTATATTACAGACTTTATTTAGATGAAACTTTTTAGCAAGTTTTCTGGTTGAAAGTAGAGCTGGGAGAAACAAAAACGCTGCACACCAGTAAGATAGGAAGACATCAGACAGGCCAGTGGGAGGTTTAAAGACTCTGTGTATGGAAATAGTTTGGATCTGATGCTCTGGTCTACTCTACTGTATGGTTAGCTGTATTTACTTCACAGTTCATCTTAACAGGGCTAGTACCACCCCCATTTTAAATTAAATGCAGTATAATGCTTGATGGGAAGCTTCATCATTCAAATAAGGGTTTAGGGGCCGGGGATTTAGCTCAGTGGTTCCGCCACCTGCCTTGCAAGCGCAAGGACGCGAGTTCGATCCCTGGTACCAAAAAAACCCAAAAAACAAATAAGGGTTTGGTTTTCAGTCATTCTTTTATAATTTCAGTAATTCTTTCTTCAATTGAAAACCTTTAATTTCTAAAGTAGAATCACATCAGGAAGGATAATAACCATATTCAGTGTTGGGCAGATCCACTCGACTGAAGTAAACAAATTTAAGAACCATAGAAGACAAGATTATTTTCCAAATTAAATCTTTTCAACAAAGGTGTTAATAGTAAGTTCTAAGTCTAGAGGCTGATTCACTCTAGAATTTCACAGGAAATGGAAGTTTATATTCGATACATGGGGCCAATAAGCTGTAAAGTGGAGAAGAGCTGTCTCCTTGGCCTAACACTTCAGCCTTTTTAAGAGCGAGGGAAGTACTTGCACACCTGACCAAGCACCTCCAAGTTATAAAGCTGCCTGTAATTTCAACTTTTGCCTTCAAAGCCTTGAGTCTTACCTGAGGCCTCACTTTGTTGCCAAAGGTGAGATTTTAAAGTAACCTGGTTACTTTAAAGCTGGTTCCCTGCAGGTCTGTAGAGCCCTTCGGCCTGTTAAGTAACGGGTGGGCAAACAGTGGCTGGGACATAACTTACGCTTTCTGGCTGTTGAGCGTGGATCCATCAGCACCTCTGACCTGAACTCTGGGACCACCGACCTGACACACGTCCGTCCTTTGAGGAATAGTCTCACTTGTTCATTGGCGGGAAGCAAAGTTCCATGAACTTCTTTGCTGCTCTATCTCAGAGGAGAAAATTAGCCATCCTTGGATAACTGAAGATGTTCAACTTTGCTGTATACTTCCTGCCTGACACTCGTGCAGGGTTCCTGAAGCCTCTGCTGGGTGTGTAGCCACTCCTGGCTGCTTGGGCCTGAAACACAGGTCTGGACCTGGTACAGAGGAGCACCTTTTCTCTGAGCAGGCTCCAATTCGTGTGTCATTATATTTTCAATATTAGTGAAGTCTGAATTTTACTCGAGGTGACATGGCCTTGGTGCCTTTTGGAAGTATTTAATCCCATCTCTGTAGGAATTTGAGGGTAACTTGGAGCCAAACAACGAATGTTTCCAAAATAAAATCTTTTGAATCTAAGTCTCTGAGTGTGATGAAAATAACCATTTTTAGCTCATATTCTGTGTCTACTGTATTCCTAAACTTTATGTATTGCTATGGTGAAAGCTTAAACTCTCCTAATTCTCAGCATAGATAAGCTGCCTAGTCTCACACATTTCTCTAATGAAACAGGAAAAAGGAGATAACTTCTCAGGTAAAAAATAGTTTGTTTTTTCAGAATTTGATTTTTGTGAAAACTTGATACAAGGTCTGCACCCCAATCAGAATTCAGGATCCCATGAATAGCCCTTTCTGTGTTGCTTCAGCATCCCTTGGTCTGCAGAACTGGATGGCTCTCACTTCTGTGTATTCAAGCTAGACCTATAGTACAATTAAGTAAAGTGTCCCTAAGAAGGACAAAGTTTTGAATTGCATAGCAGTTGTATGCACTGAGAGCTTGACATAACAATTTCAAAATAAGTAATTTCATTAAAGAATGTCCCTGTAAAGAAATATTTATAAAGCCATTTTTTCAATGAGGTATGATAAAAGATATAGTGAATGTTTTAATTTAAAAAATTATAGTCAAAGATACACTGCCATTTATCCCCCTCAAACTACGCTTCCCCTACTTTGAACACTTAGTCTATCACACTGTCACTTTCTCAAGCAGCTCTGCAAGTCCTCTTTTGTGCCTTTAGTTACGCCATCGTGGGGACTCAATGTCCTGAATCTATTCAAAACATTTACTTTTTGTGGTCATTTTGGTTTTGAAGAAGAGCATGAAACCACACAGTGGCAGATCAGGTGAGTAAGGCGGATGTGGAGGAGGCAGCCGACTTTCTGCTGGAGGCCACTCTGCAGCAGCATTCACCGGTATTTTCATCACACCCATAGAGACACTTCAGAACTGCTTCAGAAGATAAGAGTATTCAAAGCAAAGGGAGTATTTTGAAGAGGATTAATGGCATTGTCATTTACTGTAATAACATTCAAAAAATTTAAACATTCACTATATTTTGATCACACCTCGAAGCTATCACTCATTTGGAAATGAGATGTACATTTAGTCATTCAAATTACAAGATACAAACAGGGAGGGGAACCATTAAGAGTATGTTCACACTGTTCTGCAATTTTAGCTTTACTCTATAAAATATGGAACCTAGAATTTCGGAGATGGTAACTGTTAGTAACAGGGATGAGGGCAGGTGGGGAATCAGGTGTCTGCCCAGTTGATCTGTCTTGCCGAAGGATTTCTTACAAAAGTGAAGAACAGGCTGACAACACAGGAAAGCAAAGCACCAGCTCAGTCAATGCGGGTCTGTCCCAGGGGCCACATCAGCCTTCTAGGGGGCTGGCTGTAGCCTCTGGCCTGAGCCGCGCCTCTCATCCAGCTCCAGCGCTGTACCTAATCCCAAAGCGGAATGAGCTGGAAGCCAACACAGTATTGGCCACTCCAGGCCAACTTCTGGCTCCAGCCCCTGAGAGCAGCCATCAGATCCTCTGAGCCCACAGGAATAATCTAGTTTTGCCAGAGTAAGCCCACCTGGAGCACTGCATTTCATCATGGGTAAGTAAGAAAGGGACAAGCACTGGGGAAGAAAAGTAAGTGTTCTTATTAGAGATGAATGGAGATGCTGGGGGAAAGGTAAGTGTTGGGGTCGAGATCTTGAGGATCCCTGAAAGGCCCATATGCTAAAAGGCTTGACTGCCAACCTGTAGCTCCACCAGGGGCTGCTGGAACCCTTAGTAAGTGCACCCTGTGAAGGCAAGTTGGGTAACTGGGGGCATGCCCTTGATGGCCCCTTTTCTGTGTTCTTCCCAGAAGCCATGTGCTGCTGCCACGACATATGGTGCTGCCACAGGCTCGTCTTAGACACCTTTCCCAACACCCACAAGTTAAGAAGAAGTTTATTTTGGCTCACAGTGTGTAGAGGTTTCAGTCTATAGTGAGCTAGCTCCAAGGCAGGGTGGCATGGCAGAGGAGAAACAAAGCAGGCAGGATGCAGCAAAGCAGCAAGCAGTGAAGCAAGCCTCCCGTCGCCTTTTATCCCATCCAGGCTTCCAGCCTTTTGGGGGGTACCACCCACACCCAGAGTGGGGCTTCTCATTATATACACCCAGAACTATGCTAAACCAAGCAGTGGACTAATTTGACAACTCACACCCTTAATCCCAGAATCACGTAGATTAGTGGTGGTGAACCTAGT